GAGGGCAATACCAGATGGGCTAATCTTGCATCTGCCCACAATCCCTGGGTGTTACAAGGTGGCTTGGCCCAGGGACCACTTAGGGTAAGTGTTGGACCCATAGAGCCCATTTGATGGGTTTCAGGGGGTGCACTGTCCATAGCAGTGTATTCGGCCAGCCTTGTAACAAAGGCTGGGCCGAACCCATGTGGCAGATGTGTAGATCAATGTTTGGGCCCCATGCCATACAAGGAGGCCCAACTGGGCAGCAGTTTGGAAGGCTAAGTGAACACACAAACTTAATGGGCCGAAAGCCCACTTCGAACTGGGCTGATTTAATCAGTTTAAATGAGGGGTGGATCTGGGATTGAATCAGTTGGTAGGATTGGGCCTTGACCCTATCCACTCAGAGAGTTCGAGATCTAAATAAGATTTAGATCTGGGAGCCTCCTAATAGGATTAGGAGAGGGCTGATCCAATCTACAGATAAGATAAGGGTTCTCTCTTATCACTTAAAGGGACTTCTGATCCAAATATGATTTGGATCAGCAACTCCTAATGGGATTAGGAGCTGATCCCTTTAAGCCTATAAAAGGAGGGGGCGACAGCCTTTAGACACACAACACAAGAGAGAAAAAGATCTCTAGTCTTCAGAGCTGAAATCACAGAAGAAAGTTTTTTGCAATCTCTACAGAACTCTTTCTTGCCGCCTCCTTCCTGCCGCCGCCAGACCTCCAGTTCGATCTCCAACTTTGTAGGAGAGATCAAGATTTGATCTTGATATCAGCCCTTTGTGAAAGGACTGATTGGAAGCAGTGCTCACGTGCCATCCAGCTATCCTTGCAAAGGATCGGGTTCTTGGAGAACGCTGCTGATTCTGCTCCATCCTGCACTGTGCCATCTTTAGTGGGAGTAGTCTTTGGGTCCTTCCTTGGGCGTGAACACCTCCATTGAGAGATAATAWTTCTCTGTATCAGGTATACCTCTCTCCCACTCCTTTTGGTTCAGATCTGGTTCAGTTTATGGTTCAAGATTGATCCTTGAAAATATGATTTTCTAAATAGGGAATG